CGACATTCATTAATGTGAGTGTATGGGATCACGTCAGGTACCCTCACGAGGGGAGTGTATCAACTTTGGCGTTCGTAATGCCTCTCTACAGAGGAGGGTGTCGCCTTCAAGAGTTAGGTATAAACAGTGGTTTTATACCAGTTCTTTTCCAAATTATTCATGCCCTATAGAAAAGCAACAGTCGTTGTTTCAATGAAGCAGTGCCCTTAGAAGGGTGGACCCATGCCTTCTATCACATTTGCATATTATAGTTATACGGCTCAATTAGAAAATCATAATACTAATTAATATTTTTTTTTAGGATATTCCAGGAACAATGCAAACCATCGCAGATGTTACAGATTCTCAGAACCTTTGTTTGCAAGAACTCCTCATCCGCTTGTAGGACACTTCACTTCAGAACTGCACATTTGTATTGCCATACCAGATAGGCTTATGAAACATGGAAATTTTTGAGATAAGTTGCCATTACCTTAGAAAATCATAATACTAATTGATGTTTTTTTTTTTAGGATATTCCAGGAACAATGCAAACCATCGCAGATGTCACAGAATCTCAGAACCTTTATTTGCAAGAACTCCTCATCCGCTTGTAGGACACTTCACTTCAGAACTACACATTTGTATTGCCATACCAGATAGGCTAATGGAACATGGAAATTTTTAAGATAAGTTGCCATTACCTTAGAAAATCATAATACTAATTGATTTTTTTTTTAGGATATTCCAGGAACAATGCAAACCATCGCAGATGTCACAGAATCTCAGAACCTGTATTCGCAAGAACTCCTTATCCGCTTGTAGGACACTTCACTTCAGAACTACACATTTGTAATGCCATACCAGATAGGCTTATGAAACATGGAGATTTTAAAGATAAGTTGCCATTACCTTCAAAATTGTTACCCCTCAAATTCATTTCATCTATCCTTCTTCGGACATTCCTTCATGAAAAAACGACTTTTATCGATTCACTAAATTATTTATTTCTTCAGTCGAATAATTATTCGACATTCATTAATGTGAGTGTATGGGATCACGTCAGGTACCCTTACGAGGGGAGTGTATCAACTTTGGCGTTCGTAATGCCTCTCTACAAAGGAGGGTGTCGCCTTCAAGAGTTAGGTATAAACAGTGGTTTTATACCAGTTCTTTTCCAAATTATTCATGCCCTACAGAAAAGCAACAGTCGTTGTTTCAATGAAGCAGTGCCCTTAGAAGGGTGGACCCATGCCTTCTATCACATTTGCATATTATAGTTATACGGCTCAATTAGAAAATCATAATACTAATTAATATTTTTTTTTAGGATATTCCAGGAACAATGCAAACCATCGCAGATGTCACAGAATCTCAGAACCTTTATTTGCAAGAACTCCTTATCCGCTTGTAGGACACTTCACTTCAGAACTACACATTTGTATTGCCATACCAGATAGGCTAATGGAACATGGAAATTTTTAGGATAAGTTGCCATTACCTTAGAAAATCATAATACTAATTAATGTTTTTTTCAGGATATTCCAGGAACAATGCAAACCATCGCAGATGTCACAGAATCTCAGAACCTGTATTTGCAAGAACTCCTAATCCGCTTGTAGGACACTTCACTTCAGAACTACTTATTTGTAATGCCATACCAGATCGGCTAATGAAACATGGAAATTTTTAAGATAAGTTGCCATTACCTTAAAAAATCATAATACTAATTAATGTTTTTCCAGGAACAATGCAAACCATCGCAGATGTCACAGAATCTCAGAACCTGTATTTGGAAGAACTCCTTATCCGCTTGTAGGACACTTCACTTCAGAACTACACATTTGTAATGCCATACCAGATAGGCTTATGAAACATGGAAATTTTAAAGATAAGTTGCCATTACCTTCAAAATTGTTATCTCTCAAATTCATTTCATCTATTCTCCTTCGAACATTCCTTCATGAAAAAACGACTTTTATCGATTCACTAAATTATTTATTTCTTCAGTCGAATAATTATTCGACATTCATTAATGTGAGTGTATGGGATCACGTCAGGTACCCTTACGAGGGGAGTGTATCAACTTTGGCGTTCGTAATGCCTCTCTACAAAGGAGGGTGTCGCCTTCAAGAGTTAGGTATAAACAGTGGTTTTATACCAGTTCTTTTCCAAATTATTCATGCCCTACAGAAAAGCAACAGTTGTTGTTTCAATGAAGCAGTGCCCTTAGAAGGGTGGACCCATGCCTTCTATCACATTTGCATATCATAGTTATACGGCTCAATTAGAAAATCACAATACTAATTAATATTATTTTTAGGATATTCCAGGAACAATGCAAACCATCGCAGATGTCACAGGATCTCAGAACCTGTATTTGCAAGAACTCCTCATCCGCTTGTAGGACACTTCACTTCAGAACTACACATTTGTATTGCCATACCAGATAGGCTAATGGAACATGGAAATTTTTAAGATAAGTTGCCATTACCTAAGAAAATCATAATACTAATTAATGGTTTTTTTAGGATATTCCAGGAACAATGCAAACCATCACAGATGTCACAGAATCTCAGAACCTGTATTTGCAAGAACTCCTTATCAGCTTGTAGGACACTTCACTTCAGAACTACACATTTGTAATGCCATACCAGATGGGCTTATGAAACATGGAAATTTTAAAGATAAGTTGCCATTACCTTCAAAATTGTTACCTCTCAAATTCATTTCATCTATCCTTCTTCAGACATTCCTTCATGAAAAAACGACTTTTATCGATTCACTAAATTATTTATTTCTTCAGTCGAATAATTATTCGACATTCATTAATGTGAGTGTATGGGATCACGTCAGGTACCCTCAGGAGGGAAGTGTATCAACTTTGGCGTTCGTAATGCCTCTCTACAAAGGAGGGTGTCGCCTTCAAGAGTTAGGTATAAACAGTGGTTTTATACCAGTTCTTTTCCAAATTATTCATGCCCTACAGAAAAGCAACAGTCGTTGTTTCAATGAAGCAGTGCCCTTAGAAGGGTGGATCCATGCCTTCTATCACATTTGCATATCATAGTTATACGGCTCAATTAGAAAATCACAATACTAATTAATATTATTTTTAGGATATTCCAGGAACAATGCAAACCATCGCAGATACTCCTTATCCGCTTGTAGGACACTGCACTTCAGAACTACACATTTGTAATGCCATACCAGATAGGCTTATGAAACATGGAAATTTTAAAGATAAGTTGCCATTACCTTCAAAATTGTTACCTCTCAAATTCATTTCATCTATTCTTCTTGGAACATTCCTTCATGAAAAAACGACTTTTATTGATTCACTAAATTATTTATTTCTTCAGTGGAATTCTACATTCATTAATGTGAGTGTATGGGATCACGTCAGGTACCCTTACGAGGGGAGTGTATCAACTTTGGCGTTGGTATTGCCTCTCTACAAAGGAGGGTGTCGCCTTCAAGAGTTAGGTATGAACTGTGGTTTTATACCAGTTCTTTTCCAAATTATTCATGCCCTACAGAGAAGCAACAGTAGTTGTTTCAATGAAGCAGTGCCCTTAGAAGGGTGGACCCATGCCTTCTATCACATTTGCATATCATAGTTATACGGCTCAATTAGAAAATCACAATACTAATTAATATTATTTTTAGGATATTCCAGGAACAATGCAAACCATCGCAGATGTCACAGGATCTCAGAACCTGTATTTGCAAGTACTCCTCATCCGCTTGTAGGACACTTCACTTCAGAACTACACATTTGTATTGCCATACCAGATAGGCTAATGGAACATGGAAATTTTTAAGATAAGTTGCCATTACCTTCAAAATTGTTACCTCTCAAATCCATTGCATCTATTCTTCTTTGAACATTCCTTCATGAAAAAACGACTTTTATTGATTCACTAAATTATTTATTTCTTCAGTGGAATTCGACATTAATTAATGTGAGTGTATGGGATCACGTCAGGTACCCTTATGAGGGGAGTGTATCAACTTTGGCGTTCGTAATGCCTCTCTACAAAGGACGGTGTAGCCTTCAAGAGTTAGGTATAAACAGTGGTTTTATACCAGTTCTTTTCCAAATTATTCATGCCCTACAGAGAAGCAACAGTAGTTGTTTCAATGAAGCATTCCCTTAGAAGGGTGGACCCAAGTTTTCTTCCACATCTGTATATTATAGTTATATGGGGCAATTAGAAAATCATACTTACAGAACCTGTATAAACCAGGTAGATTGTTCCTAATTCATTTCTACATTCAACAAATTACTACAGTCACCAGCAAAAACTGGCCACCATGGAATATTTTATGAATTTTCACTTACTTGGTGAAATGGTGGGTCAAATACTGTACCCACCAAGTTTAAGACACTATGATGTTCTGTTTATAGAAATAACTTATATTCAATTTCAACTTATCTTAAGAGTTCAAGCATTCATTTCACTCAGATGCATTCATAGAATCTTTGAATATAATTCAACTCATATTTAATTCAGTCCATTTCTTATGGGCAATCTTGTTTAAAATCACCATAACATTACATAATAAATCACTATAATGAAATAAGTACCTACATAATAATATGTATTGAACACATCAATATGAAATATAAGAGTTTTGTGATTGAGAAGAAAGTATGTATTTTTTGTATGGCTTCTGAAGTCAGAACTGCTACAGAACATTGGACAGGGTCTTGTCTCAAATTTCATTTCCATTCAGGTATCTATACCAATGATTTCATTTATTTTAATCGAGATTTCAATGTCACCTTCTATTTGTATTCTTTGCATTTAACCTCAACAAAGTCAGTGATTTTATGTTGGTTGTATATAACTAGGGAATCTCTGTAATATCAGTTGGAAAAATGAGGCATGATTCAAAATCATCAAATAGTGGGATAAGAGATACATTTCTGGTTGACACCAAAACAATCAATGGATTTAGGTATACTAAAGGAAAGATGAAGGGGAATGCAAAAATAATTCAGACTAATTATTTACCTTGGTCATCCATCATATTTTGGGCCAGTAAACGGTCCTGATATAAAATGAACAAAAGCCTCCAAGTATTCCTTTCTTTTTCCAAACATATTTCTTCATCCAAGTGTGAAACAGCTACTTTGCACTTGAGACTCTGTATTACTTTGAGAGCATCTGAACAACATCGTGCTAAATCAGTGACTACCTCTAGAATATCTTGCCCACCTGAATATAAAATCAAATATCTATAATTCTGGAATACAAAGTAGAGTATAAAGTAGTCCACTGTTTGTTTTTCAAGTAAATCAAAATCAATGGAATTGGATACATACCAGAGTGAGTTTGTAAAACTTCAAAAAACTCAGTGTAAAGACTATCTACAGCAGTTGTCCAAGGTGCAACATTAGCTTGCAAGACATTGCCAATCACAGTTTGATCACCCTGTAGGATATGAGACAGTTTTGAACCAGTTTCATCAAAACTTGGATGCTGTTGTCTCCTCAAATGTTTGAGCAGTTCATGATTGGCAACAGTTGAAGAGAAATCCAATCGATTATCATAGTCTGTCCGAGATTTTAATAAACTCTTCTTGAATAAACCTCTTCCTGATGTCGACAGAGCATCTTCCAGCAAACGAACTGACCTTTCCAGATCATTATCCATTTCTTCGATGATCTATTCACTCAGGAATTTTTAAATCTAGGGATAAATATCGACAAATTTTGAGAAAATAATTGATTAGTTTCTCCACAAACGGTTCCGACTAAGAACCTGGGGCCAACATAAACATAACCTGAAATAACATTGTCAATTGCAGCTAGCAGACTAGCTGGCTAAACATTTTGTCCGCCACTGGGTTACTTCGGCAATGTTCGGAGATTTTGACTGCTATCTTTGGCTGCTATTTCACACAGCTCTGGCTATGGCCCATAAGACAATTAATGTATCGAAAAAGAATAGGCATCTTCCTCATTTAGTTGCTGAGTGTTTTGGTAGATGGCAGAACCATCGAAATTCAATAATTTTGTGATTTTTCTTCGTCAATAATTAAGATGGCTGCCATCTCGATGTGAGGAAACGTCATTTCCCTGAAGAAACTGTAATTTTTTATACAAATGTATCGTTTCTAGTTTTAATAAGTTGTAAATTGATTTATCAAAGTGCTGTGAATGATATAATTTAGTAAAACATGTCGGGAGAACGTGAGATTCCGGCAGAGGACAGTATTAGAGTAGTTTGTAGGTTTCGACCCTTGAATGATTCAGAAGAAAAGGCTGGGTCCAAATTCGTCGTGAAATTTCCTCAAGGGGGAGACGAAAATTGCATTTCAATCGCAGTAAGTAGCACAGATTCACAGATTGTATTCAGGTAATTTTGGGAATGAACTAGTTTTTTTTCAACATTTTTACGTCACCTAATCAAAGCATGAAGTGATATGATTGTCTACCTATCTGCGCACTCATTTTTACCGATTTTCTATTTAGGTAGGCGATATATTAAGAAGAGTGTGATTCTTTGTGTTCCATATCATTATTCTCTATCATAATTCTCCAGATGATTTCACTTTGAACCAGCTACCTGTAAATACCTATTTGATTAACATATTTGGGTTACATATTTCAAGTATTTCTCATGTTTACATTTATTGGCTGAGTCCCAGGTTATCTGTAATAATCTCAGGCTACATGCAAGTTCAATTTGAAGAACCTTATGCTTAAATCAAGCTAGACTCCTCTTCTAATCAGATAATTAATCTTCCAATCTTCTCACAATTCTGGAGATAATTTTTCATAATCATCCAAGTTTTGATCTTAGGATTTCCTTACTATTTGCATTGAATGAATATAGCATGGCTCAGTAGGTAGGTAGGTAGGTAGGTGGCAAGGTAGGTAGGTAGTAGGTGTTATATCAGGGGTTAATTCAATTCATGCATGAATCCACATAATGTAAGTTTAGATACATTCAATTGAATATCTCTCCTTAGAATTTGAGTTGGAAATCCTTCAATACTTGCTTCTACCCAACTCAACTAAGGCTTCACATGGTTGCATCTTTCAAGGAAGCAGTTGTATAATTAAGTACACATATCTAGCAAAATAAGTCATATGGAAAGTTTTAATTAAACAAATCTCAGTATCAGCATTTCACATTCCACCTAGTGAAATTATCAAAGCAGCAACATTTTTAATCATTAATCATTTGGTTTTGGTTCTGTTTGATTGTCATGCAGGTCATTAATAGTAGGTATTCCAGCAATTGCAATTTAGATATCCAATTGGATATTATCCAATATTACACAGAATATTTACACTATGTGAGACACTATGAATAGTTAATATAATTATATATATGATGTCAATTATGACCTTCTGTCATATTTGTAAATATAGGGAATATAGGGATAGGAGAAGACTAGGAAGATGAATATTAAGATGAATTTGAATAAGTTTATGATATATCAGAATGTCCTGCCTTCAATCTGATAAATGTTCAAGATTGACACTCATGGTGACTGGATGTTTATGGAGAATATAGGATATTTTATAGACCAAATAATTATTATAAGCCACCTACATTGAGAATAATATACATGGGTGTTGAAGACAACAATCAATACTTCCAACTTCAATACCTTGTATCTTGAAAAGGAAGCATTTCAGGACCTATGTTGATTCGAACTTTTCTCCTTAGAATCACCCAATTAATTGTCCCTTGAAGTTTTGCCAGATACTTGAATAACACCCTGTATATCAGAAAAACGGCTATATCTTCGTAGTTGTCTGACATAACTCCATCCTTCCTTGTATTGTTAGATTCCTTTCTGCAATCTAGAAACCTCTTCTCTAACTGATTGTGGAATGAAATACAGGTTATTTCATTTAAAAAAAAAATCAACTAGTACCCTGTAGATCGTTTATTCCGAGCACCCAATATTTTCTGATTTGGCGAAAAAACATATTTTTAAAATTTTGAAATCAGTTCAGAAATAACTGAGCTAGAAAGAGGGGGAGAGGAGGCATTAATGGTGAATCACCCTGTTCATTGAGCACATGAATGTTGGAAGGAACAAATTCATTCAACAGCTTGATATTGCCAAGCCAATGGGTAAAAAAGCTCAGACACATCGATTTCATCAAGAAGAACGCACTTCTCTGTGTATGATATGATATGTATCATATTTTTTCTTTATTTTTTCTCATGTCACATATCCGTATTTTCGAGAAATTAAATGTAATTTATAATGATGACGTCATCAAAAATATGCGTAGACCGAGAAATGCGCATCTAAAAACAAAAAAACAATCGTCTTGTTGAGTGTTTTTCCCGATGACTATAATCAAGCTTTTAAGGAATTTGTTCCGAACTTTATGTGCTCACTATATATTTTTGGGATATCTATTCATAATTCCTCATTGTCAAAATAAATCATAACTAAATGAATCATCAAGTGTTAACGGATGTTCCAAGGAATCCATATGTTTGAAAAAAAATTAGGAAATTCCTCCGGAAATTCGGGAATTTTGAAATATTTCATGAAATTTCGAAAAACCTCAAAGCCCAGGTAATTCAAGGGATATTGTTGTTATTCGTGGAAATCCGAGGGAATTCAAAGAATTTAACTCAAGAATTTGATGGAATTCTATGAAATTTTTGAAACTTCCAATCCTTCAAATTTCCAAAGAAATTCGAAGCTACAAGGAATTATAAAAAATTCCTACTTACCAAAGCATTCCAAGAGATGTTCTAGTCTTTTTTTAAATAATTCAGAATATATCTAAGTAATTCTGAGGAATAACGAGGAATTTTACAAGTATTTTCAATGACTTCTGACGACCTCCAAAGAATTGCCAAACTTCTAAAGTTTCCAATTAACCCCATCAAGAAATTCGGCAGAACTGAAATTAATTTCCTTGGAAATTCCCTAGAGAATTCCAAACGATTCCAAGGATTTTCAAAACATTCCCTTAGGTACCGAATCACCAATTAATCCTATTATAATCCATCAAGGAGGCTCATCTTAATTTTCGATATATCATCAGATTGAGCGTCAGATAATTTGTAAATTTTTCTTCAAATATTACATCACCCATCAGATAAAAGCAGATCGGTGTGAATCTGTCATTGAAATCTATAACTGTTTCTACTTGTAATTTCCGTGTTTCTTCGTTCACACAGGAAGTAATTGGTAATAAAATACCTACTTATTTATAAGTACTTAGTTAATTAATTGCATTGTTTAGAGAAAATTCGCTTTGTTACCAGTTGTCGAAAACAATGGCCCATTAAATGGAATAAGCATCTACTTGGATTTGCTTTATCTTCGAATTGAGATAATTTTGATGAATAATCAACATCTCATTCAGTGCACATGACTTTTATACAGGGTGTCCCTAAAACGTCTGTGGGAAATCTTAGGTCAAAATGAGCTAGCAGAACCACTTCAGATTTTTCAATTCTTTTCTTCGGCCATAATTTAAGGCTAATTGAAGTCTAATTTTTTCACCCAATAGACGAGTCATTATCTTCGATTTATGCAAAAAACTTCGTAAACAAAAGTTAAATCATGAAACTAACTAATTATACCATAATTTAAGGCTAATTTAAGGCTCTAATACTAGCCTACTGCCCTTACTGCCGATTTTTTTTCCTAATACTAAATAAGTTATTATGAATTATTTACAGGGGCAAGAGCTCTATTAGAAGAATGATATATTATTTACTAGGCAGGGGCTCTATAAGATGGATTAACGACTCTCGGGCGTGGAATTTCAATATTATTAAGATTGTCAGATTCAAAGTTTTGGCGAACACGCCGGGACACATCACGAAGATCAAGTTTAATTCACGAGCGAAGCGAGTGGCATAATTAACCTGAGTGAATAATAGCTCATTATATTCGAGTAGAATACTATACTTTGTCCACGACTACTATTGTTTTTCACATATAAAATTATTTTTAACAAATGTTTCATCATAACTCATTCGACATTAAGAAAACTAAAAATTGAAAAAAATAGGAACTCTAAACAAGTGATTATGGTTATTCACTTCTATTATTCACTGGTGTGAAAAATGGCTACCGTTCTGCTTGAGGAAGTACATGTATTATGAATATGTTATACAACAGTCGTAGATAGAAGTTATTATAAAACGGTTGTTGAAAATGAATTCATATATCAGACATAGTAGTCGTGGACAAAGTTCAGTATTCTACTCGCATATAATGAACTATTATTCACTCAGGTTTATTATGCCCCTTGATACGCTCGTGACATAAACTTAACCTTCGTGATTAATAGCCCTCATTATATGCTTGTTGAATATTATACTATTATTATATTCGCGATAATATGAACTATAGTGAGGCTCAATATAATATGAACGTATCGATGAAATCAGCTCATCAGGGAGAATCGAAAAATGCAATAGAATACAGGGTGTTCCATTTGAAATATCAATGTTGCTACTACTTTCTAGTAGAAGCGGCAACACTGCATTGTCAAAAATATTTTAAATGAGGAGAGCATATTCTAAAATATGAGCATGCACATTTTCATGGATTTCTCTCGACTGATTCTCGATATAAAGAGGTTTGTTCGTGTTCCAAATTGTTGAAACGGTCCATGGACTGCGCAGAATCAGGTGCGCATCAAATTCAATCCGAAACAGGTCTGGAATAGTTTTGAAACCAGATAAACGAAAACAGCGTTTTCCCGTTTTCTCATCATCTTTCTCGAAAATATGCTGTGTCTTGATTCACGTGAATCGAGGGTATATTTAGGTTAGGGTTATGTTGATCTTAACATGGAAGAATCCCAAAATCTGAGACCTGAACATGAACCTTCCCCACTGAAATATTCATACACTTATACATATACCAAAAATGGTCCCTGAATTCTTATTCTGAGTACAGATTCGATTAAAACCACCATTCTCCAGATGGGCCTTGAGTATTTCCAGCAGATAACATGTTCAAAAACGTTTGTTATTATCTGAACTTGAAGATAGAGGACGATGAGCTGGATTTTTTCTGATTATTCCATTCTTGATCTTGTTCAAAAGTGTATCTCTCAACATAAGAACGTTTAGAGGTTAAGAATCGGTTGCATGAACGCATGCGCATCCAAAATTATTCACGACAGTCATGGGCAGTACTTGCCCAGAGGCTTGTACTGCTTCGGACCGATTGGGAACTATCCCAAACTAGTTCGTATAAAACGAAAACACGTGATCTGTGGAATACGAAACAGTCCTGAGAAAACGCGAACACTTCTTTGTCACTGCGCATGCTTCTGATGGTTTTGGATAACTAATTTTGTGAACGCGAACAAACCT